AAACCGCCCCGCAACGCGGGTGTACCTTGTGTATGCGTTGTGTGGGTCTCGCCGTGCTCGGAGGCGAGGGCGAACTGATGTGATTGTTGTTGCACTAACTGTGGGTGTAGTGTTATCCGGCGGGAGCCCCGGCGGTGGGTCCATCGTATCTAAGTCCTCTTCGTCGACCGGGTCGATGAGGACGTTTCGCGGGCGACGCTTGTTTACGTTCGCGGTAGTGTCGCGCTTACCACCAGAGGGTTGGGATGATGCTGGACTCTATCGAAGAACCGTTTTGTGAAATCTTTAAAATGTGCGCGAATCGTCGGGAGTCTGCAATCGCTGTGCAGGTCGACGTTGCGCTGATACCACTGCGCACTGGTTGCGCGGCGGATAAACTTATTTTGTACTATTTGCAACTTGTACAAGCGAGTAGGGTGCGTGTGGGCGAAGATCATGCATGCGTAGGACATAATAGATCGTACGCAGGTCTTATATAATAATAATTTGTGTGCTTAAAGGCATTTTACTTTTAGCGTTAGTTAAATTGTGTAGCCGGCCGGAGACGAACGCGGCTCTATTACGAACGTTATTAATGTGCGTAATAAATGACATACGCGAGTCGAAAGTGACTCCTAAGTATTTGACCTTTTTCTCCCAGGGGAGCGGTTGACCATAAAGGGATATTTGCCCCAACTTTCTGCATTGGCGAGGGCCATTATAAAGATGTGACGGGTAGGTACTTCGTGTGAAGTGAATCGCCACACTCTTTTCGGGATTTATTTCTATTCTCCATTTGCGGAACCAATCGCCGAGGCGGTCGGCGGCGCTTTGGAGTCGAGTGGTTAGTATTCTAAGGTTGCGGTCTGAATAAAAGAGCGCGGTGTCATCCGCAAAAAGCGCGAGATTGACGTGGGGTCTTTGGGTATGTCGCTCGTGTAGAGCGTAAAGAGCAAAGGTGAGAGGCAGGAGCCTTGTGGTACGCCGGCCGTGAGGCGGCGGCTTGTGGAGAGGGTGCCCTCGACTCGATACCGAAAAGAGCGATTCAACAAAAAGGCCCGGATGGTGTGTACGAGCCTATCTGGCACTTTGAGTGTGTACAACTTGTAAAGCAAGCCGTTGTGCCAGACTTTGTCGAATGCTTTTGCGACATCGAAGAAGAGAGCCCCTGTGCTGATGTGTTTGGGGTGGTTTAGGCCTTTTAGGATGTGCTCCGTTAGGCGGTATAACTGGTCGGGACATGAGTGTCTAGCTCGAAAGCCGAATTGTTCCGTCGGCAGAAGGCCGTTGGAAAATACGTGCTCTTTGAGCCTGTTTAACAAGAGCCGCTCGTAGAGCTTCCCCAGGCAACTGAGGAGGCTGATGGGACGATAGCTAGAGGGCTGATTAGCTGGTTTATTCGGCTTACGAATGCCGATAACCGTGGCTTGCTTCCAGTCGTCCGGAAAGGAGCAACTGGAGAGAAGGGTATTGAAAATGGTCATGAAAATGAGCTTTGAGAATTTTATTACTTATATTATCTGGGCCTGGGGCGGATTTTGGTTTTAAATTTTTAATAATATCTTGGACCTCTTCGGGGGTCACTGAATTTAAAGGTTCGCCTTCCGGTGGAAGCGCAGCCCTAATCTCGATTACGCGGTCCACCTCCGTTAGGTGGGCTGTATCGATGTGTTCGCGCGATGGCGTACATTGCTGCTCTAGGTTGTCCGCAAAGCATTCGGCTTTTTCGGAGTCATCTAGGGCTACTGAAGCGCTATTAGGTCTAACTAACGGCGGTAGAGATTCGCGGGGGTCTGCTTTCAGACTGCGGGCCAACCGCCAGTAGGCGGTGTGCGATGGCTCGATGTTCTCTAGGAGAATGTCCCACGTTGTGTGTCGGTGTTCCGATACACGATCTTTGACTTCTAGCTATGCGTCGAAGTAGGGTTCGGTTCGATTCCGATCGGTATCGGTCGAAGGCGCGTTTGGCTGCATTTTTCTATCTGATTAGCAGTCTTAGGTCGGGCGGAAAGTTAAGTTAAACCGTCGGTCGCCCGACAGTTTCACCGTCCGTTCCGAGTCTGTGACTGCGGAAGTAATAGTTTCTCGGAGACTCGCTATCGCTCGATTTGCGTTATCGAACGTAGCTATCGTCTCAGGTAAGTCTACTAAGTCCTGGGGGTCCAAGGCCTTGAGTTTGACCTCAAGACGATGCCAGTCCACTACGGATTTGGTCGGAGGGACCGCGCCGGCGTTCTGGCCCAGTTTACACAGGACGGGCCTGTGGTCTGAGTCTAGTTCATGGATTGTCTCCATCGACTCGATGTCGAGCGAGACCTCCCTGAATAACATGATGTCTAGGACACTCGGTGACGCGTGTTGGTAGTGGTCCACCGTAGGATACCAAGTGGGAGTCGCGGAAGCGACTATGCTAAAGTTTAGGTTATCGGATAAAGTAAAGAGATGCTTTCCGTTGTTATTTGGGATGCTGTTGGTGTCCCATGAGCCGTGTTTGCAGTTTAGATCTCCTGCAATTATCACGGAAGGGCCTAAGTTAAGAAGCGTATCTAGGTCGCTTTGAAGTAAGGTTCTATTCCCCGAGAGGTAGGCTGAAACTAGTACAAGCGGCCTGTGGCCGGTGAACGCTAACCTACACGCGGATGCCTCTATTTGACTTAGCTCTGGAATGTCGAGCGGGCAACAGTGCAAGGACCGTTTATAATAAATTAATGTGCCTCCCAGACGGTTTGCTAACCGGTCGTGGCGGACAATATTGTAATTTGCGATTCTGGGATCGCGTACACTAGGTTTCAAGAATGTCTCTTGCACTAGAAAAATATCTACGTTGTAGTCGCGAAGGAATTCCGCGATTTCGTCCATTTGACCTTTTATGCCGTTTGCGTTGAAATACGAAACAACCAGAGCCCGAGGTTTGGTTCTACCTGCGGTTGTACTTCCCATTAAGGTGTTTTTATGGGTTTAATTAACGACGCGGCGGAGCGCGGTTTTATTGCGCGGACTATAGTCTTCTACGGTTGGCTCGTAAAAGCCCAAAGGGCTTCCACAAGCGTTTTATGTTGGCTAATTGCCCTAAGACGCTCGTTGCCAGATGTGGCGGCCGCTATTTTAGCGGACAATACGGCGAGTTCCTGCCTATTGATCCTATCTAATAGGCTGCAGATGTTTGCGATTTGCGCGAATGGGTGGGTCGTCCTTGTTTTCCGCGAAAACTGACGGAGTTGGCTGCACCTGCGGCCGCGGCGCCGTTTGAGAGGCGGGCAGCTGTTGTGCGATCGGTCGTGAGGCGACCGGGATTACCGGCGTGGTTACCTGCGCGGCCACCTGGGGTTTCGCCCAGGCGTTAGTGACGGGTACGGGCGCGGGAACGTATTTAACGGGCGCGGGTTTGGGCAACGTAGATTTCGCGGGAGTTTTCGGGGCCTTAGCGCAGCCTCTATAACTAGCCGGGTGGCCGGTAGCGTGACAGTTTACGCAGTCTGGTGGATCTGCGCAATCTTTTGGCCTCGTGCACTCGTTTGTGCCGTGGTGCGTGGTGCTAGGTGCGTCAAATGCACCACCGGTGCATTTGACGCACCTAGGGTGAGCGAAGCAATTATTGGCCGTGCGGCCAAAATGTTCAGATTTGGTGCTAGATTTTCGTGACATATATTATAACTTACCATAGTAGCTATATTGTTGTAAATTAGTATGAGTAATGTAAAATGTCCAATTCTAAGACATGTCGAATTTTTGATACTAATTTATTTAAATAACATCCATACCAATATAGGTAAACGACAAAATATTGTATAAAATCTACGTGACCTTACCATACTAGTTTCTGCAATCTTTGAAACTAATAGAAGTCCCAATATTATGAGATTATCTTTTGCTTAAGGTGAATCTTGTCATTCAGTTTGTTAGTATGACTAATAAAGTTACTAGCGACCCGCCCCGGCTTCGCACGGGTACAATGTATTATACATACAAACCTTATTCCTCTTCAATTACTCTATCTAGTAAAAAAAAAAAACCGCATCAAGATCCGTTGCGTAGTTTTAAAGATCTAAGCATACAGGGACAGACAGACAGCGAGTCGACTTTGTTTTATACTGTGTAGTGATAGTGAAGCCCTCGCCTGCTAACCTAATAGGCTTAAAAGGCGTGAGCTGTCTTATGTGAAAACAAAACAGTGATGGTTTTTGACTGATTGTTAGTTTGTCAATCCTTGTCATTTTTGCACGTGAAGAATCTAAAAAGAAAAACGTATAGCTGACTGATTCGTTCTGATGGGATTCAAACCGGTGACCGCCAGAGAGAAGCTGACGCCCCATCTATTAGAACATCGCGGCCTCCAAAGTTAATTTTTTTTTAATGTTTGTCGCCTTAGAACTTTCGATTAGGATTCGATTTACTTAGAGAACTCTTGAAAATCAATTATAAAATGAATACAGAGCGAGATATTTGAAGTCTGTTTTGTTTTTTGTTCGTAAAAATATATTTTAATAGGGCGAATTAAGTAATTGCGGCTTGGACACCGGGCGCAACTCGGCAGAGACGCACTTGACCTAAACATCACCGCATGCGTTTACCGCAGGCGCTTCGGCCACAACCCTGTAAGTAGATTTAATGTCATCCAATTAATACTCGTCGTTCGCCGCTGTCTGTGGTTGGAAGGGAAATGGCCAGATTTCGAGTGCTAATTTTGACACGGCCATGAACACTGACAGGTTGATAAAAATCAATCAAAATTAAAAAAATAAGGATGTTTTAAAAGCTTTTTATCCTATATGTCCTTTATCTACTGTAATACAAATCTCACTGTATAGTAAAATCTTATTTTATTTGCATATTTTCCGCATTGTAAAAAGATTTTTTTAACATACTTTTATGAGTATTTTTTTTGTAAACTTTAAAAATGATACCTATTTAGATCTAAAACCTTTATTCTGGTACATTTTGTAACGGCGGTATGGAATTCTCGGATTGGGCGTTAAATTCATTCCGATACGGCTAAAATTTTGCACTTTTGAACGTAGCAGACGGGAGGGGGCAATGCTAGCCATCCCATGGTCCCGCGCGACGCCGCGAGACAATTGGGAGCGAAGCGGGCCGTTGATTATCCAAATGAATACCAGTTCGGTTCAGATCCGTCGAGGCCGCGAGCGCGGGAACGCACCGCCATCGGACCACAGATAACGGTATAAACGTCAATGTTTTCTTCAGACTTTGTTGTAAAATAAAAGGTACGTCCTTTCGGGTTTTTTTTTATGTCGGAAAGTGGCAAACGAGCATCACCTGACGTTAAGTGATAACCGCATGGATATTTGTAACTTCTGTAGGGTTGAAAACGCGTTGAAAACCTAACTTACTCCCGCCGAGCGTAAAGGCCCATTTACATGGTGCCAGTTTCTTGCCTGTTGTATACAATTAAATTGAAGCAATAAATGAGTTGCATGGTCTAAACAACAAATGGTCTAAACAATTATTACGCGCAATTTATTGCATTCAATTATTGCTCTTGTATGTTCAACAAAATGGCATCGTGTAAATGGGCCTTTAGACGCCCGACGCGACGCCCCGATTGGATAGCGATAGGAAATTGCGCGGCAATTTAAAAATCGTTAGGGCAATTTAAAGCCGCGCGTCGTCGGTGTCCGTGATGTTTTAATTTCGCGTTCCGTTCGAATAGTCGCAAGGCATTGTTTCGCGCCAGTACTATTTGTTTCTTTTTTTTTTTTTTTTTCATTTGTCTCTTTCTTCTTGTTTTTTTTTTTTAATTAAATGTGGCGGTATTTGTGTTTTTCGCGATTTTAATATTTACAAAAACAGCCAAGTGCGAGTCGGACTCGTGTACGAAGGGTTCCGTACCACTATCTATGAAAACGGCAAAAATCATGTCTATTGTACGGGAGAGGCTCCCGTACAATAGACATGAATACTTTTTTTATTCTGATTTTTATTTGTTGTTATAGCGGCAACAGAAATACATCATCTCTCTAACTATCACGGTTCATGAGATACAGCCTGGTGGCAGACGGACAGACAGACAGCGGAGTCTTAGTAATAGGGTCCCGTATATCCTTCGGATCCCTCATTTACCGCTGTCGCGCGTAAATATCGTGTGGTCCGTTCCCGCGGTTGAGCGTTATCATTCGCAAGCGAACAATGTGAACGGACGATTTGCACTCTCATAAAACCGAATACCGCACTCGGTGCTGTTGTATTGTGCTGTTTGGCCGTGCAGTTTCAGACTAATTGATCTCGTAGCCTGCCTTGCGTTACGCCTGCATCGTCCAATGCCGCACAAATCCTAATTGAATAATGATACAGCCATTACTGCAATCAACGTAACGGGGTTAGCAGTTCGAAAGTGGTAACGAAACGCTTATTATCAAAAACTATCTATACATTACTTTTTTTGTGGACATGTTCGGGATTAACATAGCGTTGAACTTATACTAGTAATGGATTCTTTCGAATAATTAAATGCAAGCAGTTTAGAACTTTAAAATTATCACTCATGTTCCCTCGTAAGGTGATAATGTTGCTTAGTTATTGGAAGTTAAATTCATGTTGTCCACCATAACCATCATCAGGGAAAGATGCTAAGCACCCACTTAGCATGCTACTTTGAAATAAAAAAAAACTAATAGTTTGAAATAATAAAACTGAATCTACTGAGGTAGGGCTACGCCACGGTCTTCTCTACTACAATTCATCCCCACGCCCCGGGTTGACCGGGAGAGAATGCCTAAAGGCATTAAGTTCGCCCTTTGTAATCCTTGATTAAGGTAATTGCAATAAAGTGTAAACAAAAAAATAAATAAATGGGCAGGTCCGTCCGGGGAAGCACCACGACCTCGTAGTAGACCGGCGAGAATAAGAAGTGTTACTGGTGAATGAGGTAACCGGAGCCCAGTTTAGTAAAAGCAACGCGGTCAACACTTAATATCAGGTGAACCGCCACCTAAGCGAGCTTCCCACACAACAAATAATTCTACGAATGTTATAAGAGACATTGCAACACCGGTCGAATGGCAGATGCGTTCTCGACCACCAAAAAGTTGGCTTTCGGTGGTGTGTACCGCCAGTCCGCCAATCTTCTTTATCTTTATATATATGATGACTCCGTGGCGCAGTTGCTAAAGTATTGGCTTCGGCGTCGGGGGGTCGTGGGTTCGATTCCCACACGGGACAACTATTTGTGTGACCCACAGATAGTTGTTTCGCATCTGGGTGGTTTGTCCGCGTGAAATTTATGTTTGTAAAACGTCCTTACAACACAGGATAATATTATCCTAAAGTAAGGGCAGTGTTTTTAAAAAAAAAAAATATAACCCTTCTGTACGTGTGTATGTCATTGAACTACTCCTAAACGCCTGGACAGATTTTAATGAAATTTTTGTGTCTTCAGCTCGATTCGAGAATGGTTTAGATTCACAATTCGGTCCACATTTTTTTTTAATTTATACCTGTACACACGACCTAAATCATATAATTTATAGGTATATGATTTAGGTCGTGTGTACAGGACAACGTCTATCGGGTCCGCCAGTAGACATAATCTTATTATGTTTATCTGCTACTGCGCACTACTTGCAGTGGGGAAAACAAGGAAGTCGACTGTCCTCACGAAACGTACACAGCCCCCGCCTGTCCTTTAATGAGATACGCATCCTCCGTGCAACGGGCAGACAAACAAAAGACCGTAAATATTGCCAACCGACTGTAATTACCGCTTGGAATGTTCTAGTAAACCAAAGTACTCTAGATTCGAACAACGTAGTCATGTAATTAGTAGGGTTGTGCTGTTGAACTGCTCGTGGATTTCATTCTTCGTATTTGTGAAGCAAATAATTTAATATGAGATGTCTTTTATGCAATTGTTTGTGAATGAGGCCTATCAGTGAAAACCTGTAATTGGCTGTTAGGTTGGGTTTTTCGTAAAATAAAAATCATCGTGGTAGGGCCACGCAGCAGCCTCGGCTGATGCACGAATGGGCAGGCTCGTCCGGGTAAGTACCACGACCTCACAGAAGACCGGCGTGAAGTGAAAGGATAATACTTTCGCGTTTTATCTGGTGAGTGAGGTGGCTGGAGCCCAATTTCCAAAAAGTTGTAAACGCATCTGGAACCCTCGGGTGTAGCAGATATCCATGGGCGACGATATTCACTTAACATGAGGTGAACCGTCTGCTCGCTTAGCAACTTTCACGTAAAAAAACAAATAAATTAATTAAATAAATTAATTAATTGCCTAGTGATGAATGCGCTTGAATAGCCGGTAGAAGCGGTTTTCGTAGACTTATGATCCATTAAACATAATTTTTTCTAGTATTTACGCCCATTTTAAACATAAATAAAACTGTTTGTAGCGGGTGCAAAAAGTGGTCACAGTTTACCGTTATTTTATCAAAAAAAATGTGACAGGAACAATGTCACCTATTACGACATAACACCTTAATCCGTCCGTCCGTCCCAATACTGTAACGTCATCAAGATGGCGGTAATTTCAAAATAAAATAAAATATTTCAAACATTTTTATGTTACACAAAAATAATCGCTGTTTGTCTTTCACCCAGAAAAAACGTCTCTGTTATCTATTTTATTACAATCCTTGAGACGAAGACATACTCGTTATAGCAAGATAGTTATAATTCACTTGAAATAATTTCACGTATTCATTTAAAATATTCCATAAGACAAGCGGACGGACGAATCCGTTATTTCTAACCGCGCCATTAACGACACTCATAACAATGAAGGTCGCGAAAGATACAGCTGCGGAAAAAAAACTCATGATCTCAGGGTTCCGTTTTATCATTTTAAAACGAAAATATTTTTCTCGTGATAATAAATTATAAAAGAAAAGTAAAAAAAGTAAAGTAACAACCTATACATTTCCCATTGCTGGGCAAAGGCCTCCTCTATACAGAGGATATCAGGGCATAGTCCACCACGCGGCCCCACTGCGGATGGACTATGGGTACTGGATAACTGATAAACATGTTTTCTTTAGCGAATAAATTCTTATTAGGGATACATAAACACTCGGACATTGGAAAAACACTATGTGCATCACACAATATTTTTCCTGTAGTGGGGAATCCACACCCTCAGGCACATGAGACATGTCCGCTATTCACTAAGCCAATCGGGTCGTTATTGTTGTCTATATTATCCAACATCTTACTCTTCGATACGCGATCTGAGGTTCGATTCTCGGTAGCACGAGTCGACGAGGTGCACGATTATCGAATTCTTACATACGCGATCCACGCTCGTGTTTGCTCCCGCCAAACCAATTATGTACACAGCGGTCTCTGTGCAAACAGTTCGGTTTAAAAGACTAACGTACGAACTCAGAGATGTAACTAGGAATTACATCAAGTTCATTCTTATAGATTTGTTAAGAATACTTCACTTAACGCACAAACTGATTTAATTTTAGTTTAGAGCTTATTTTCGTGTTGCCCTTATAGTTTGTTTTTTAAGTGTTTCATACCCGAAGGGTATAACGGCACCCTATTACTAAAACTCCTGTCTGTCTGTTCGTATGTCACCAGGCTGTATCTCATGAACCGTTGCATTTTCACATATGATGTATTTCTACTGCCGCTATTACAATAAATACTAAAAAACAATAAAAAACTATTTCAAACTAGCGACCCTCCCCGGCTTCGTATTTTACATAAACAATGTATTATACATATGAACATTCCTCTTGAATCACTCTATCTAGTAAAAAAAACGCATCAAGATCCGTTGTGTAGTGTAAAAGATCTAAGCATACATAGGGACAGACAGACAGCGGGACGACTTTTATACTATGTAGTGATGCACAGCAAAGAGACGTTTACATTTCAAGTGAAATTTAACCACAGTCACTCACTTGTTTTGTCTTCCCGGAACCCCTCCGCTAACACTTAAACTTTATGGTATGGTATTAAAGTTCAAATTGACTTTTAAGTATTATTACGAATTTTTTTACGGAAATGTAGAAAAGTGTTGTTTTTAGACTTTTTCAGGCAATTTTTTAAATTTTTCTCTCCGTAAGAACCATCTTCCTATTTCAAGGAATATTATAAAAAAGAATTAGTGAAATCGGTCCAGCCGTTCACGCGTGATGGCGTGACCAAGGGAAATAGGGATTCATTTTTATATATATAGTATAGAAGGTTAAATCAAATATATCTTTCA